ACAGAAATTTAATAGCCAGTTTATTTGTTATTTACTAATAAATTTCCAACTGTGTCGCGATAAATTTTCTTATCTGACTTATATTACCGAAGTTGAAGGCCTGTTCACATTGAATGTGTTATATTTCATATTTACAACTTTTGTATATTATTATTTTTTTATTGAATTCTAAATGATGGCGACTATAAGTGATGGATGAAGAAGAAAAAAAAGAAGGAACTTGGAAGAAAAATATATATGTATATGCTTCCTCAATATTTTCAAGATAATATTGATGCATACATAGGTAGGTGGCCGTGCACTATTCATGTAGCTGATTTTAAGTTTATTTAAGTAAAGTTTGAAAGAACTTTTGCTCATTATAGGATAGTTCATCTTGAAGAGTGTTGAGCATCATGTACAGCCACCTCTACTCATGCAGGCGCATTTTGTATGACTCCCAACAGAGCTAAAACAACAAAGTTTCTTCGAAAGAGAGAACCTAAACGCCCGGCATGTTACATATTTTATTGAAGTGCTCGAAATGCGTACTTAATGCATGACGTTAATAACTTTTTTCTGAGCAACGGCTGAATGCGGCCAAGCTTTTGAGGCAACTTTGACTGAGCCTCTCTCTCGGTCAGCTCCCATTATCGTCCGATTCTAAGTATTAAAATCACTTGTTTGCTTGAATCGCAAGTTAACCAGGAATTTAAAAGCAAAGAAAATACCACAAAAATTCACAATATCTGCATAAGAGAAAACGTTTCGAAGTCCAGCTTCATCGTCAGTTCAGAACACAAAATGAACAGAATTATGACGAACAGAATTTTGTGTTATGAACTGACGATGGAGCTGGACTCCGAAACGTTTTCTCTTATGAAGATATGTTGAATTTTTGTAGTATTTTCTTTGCTTTTAAATTCCTCGTCCGATTCTAAGAGTGCAACACTTACTTTGAGGCGGTATTAAAACTTTACATCGGGTCCGTGACGATCATGGGGCGCGAGTATTTGGTATTCAAGATGGATCCAAATGTCACATTGGTACGAACTTTTATTTAACATTTCCATTTCACGTGTTCTTTCAGTTCTTCGTCATTTTGAAACTTTGTCCTTGCCACAAAGTCCTTGAGTTTCGTAAACAGATGAAAATCTGAAAGAGCCAAGTTCGTACTGTAGGGTGTATGGTGGAAAATTTCCCACTTGAATTTTTGGAGAAGTTGTGTTATCCGAGCCGTATGCTGCCTGGCATCATCGTGCAGGAGAATGACGCCAGTAGACAACAGACCTCGCCGTCGATTTTGAATTGCCCGCCATAATTTTTTTAATGCTGCACAATATGCATGGCCATTGACTGTGTCTCCACGGGTCATGAAATCGATGAGCAGTGCACCTTGCCGATCCCAGAAACACTGGCGGCGGAGTAATATGACACTGATATACAAAAATTCGTGACACGATACCACAAATGCTTAAATTTGTCCGGAGATTATGTAGAGAAGTAGTGTAAAACAAGTTGTTTTCAATAAACATGTTTACATTTGTTAATATTTACTTCCTTTTCTTCAATTCCCAAACGGGTACTACTTTCCTGATGACCCTCGTAGTAAGGTACTACGCACACCGTTCTTTCTCTTCCTTAATTGCTCTTTTCGCTGTTCGTTAACACTGTTCGTTATTATTATTTTCGTGACATATCTTCTATATAGGAATACGTCTGACTATAGTCATGGCTTAGGAAATCAAGAATCAAGTCACGGAGACTCTGTCGTGTATTGACGGTGTGATTATCGCCACACACTCCAATGGGAACATATAAAGTGAACGCAGCAATTATTTATGACCACTTAAACTAATTTTCCCACTTCCACGTGCGTTTGACTAGCTGTTGTTGCTGCTGGTGTGCCCGCTGGTGTGCAGTAAAACCACCTACACACCCGCGTGTGCTTTAGATGTAGGGTTGTTGCTTGAAAAATAATACATACTGTATATAAACTGAATAAAGATAATAAATTGAATAATGAATAAATAGAAAAGAGCGAAAACAAAGAATTTTACAATTAAATTCACTAAACCATATTTTTAGCCGCGGATTCTTTTTATTTTAATTTCTTGTTTTCGGATCTTATCTGGTATTATAGGAATAAACACAAAATTAGGACCAATGTTAATAAATCATGTCGCAAACTAAGTATTAAACGGAATATCACAATCAAAATAGATAAATAGTGTCAATAATTTCCGCTTCAACTGATAAGTTCCACTGAATTAGCACGCACATGATTCTGTTAAAAAAAGTACCACAGCATTCACGTACCTATGAGCTGGAATCACGGAACTTTGACAAATTACAAAGCATTTCTAAACGAGGTAACGTCGGATGTGACTTAGAACCAGAAAGAGAAAATGATAACTATCTTGATGATTGATACATTTATTTTCATCACTACTTGCACCTCGAAATGTCAAGTTTTCGTATTTTAAAATAATTTTAGTACAAGGACGGCATTGTGTATGTGCTTGGCATAGTGGGCAGAGGTCAGAGTGCAGGAGGCCAGAATTTATATATTTACACTGTTATAAAAATGACCGTTAACGTTATTACCGGCATTTCAGTGGCCGGTCGGCACGTGAAAAGAAACACCGTTTCACCGTTTTTATTGCAATTTAACGCCAGAAATCCGTAAAACATCAGATAAAAACGGCGAAACAGTTTATTTTCACGGGGCGACCGGCCACTAGGACGCCAGTGAGACCGTTTTTTCACCGTTTTTTCTAACAGTGTAACAACACGGCACCACCTACGACTCTACGCTCTCAGGAACTCCTAGGAATCTCTCAGGAAGTTTGAGAGATTCAACCCTCTGATAGGCGTTCTGCTACGACGCAATCTCGTCTGCAGGAAAAATCTCCTGCATTTTAGCCACACAGGCTGCTTAGCGACACGAACATTGTTGCCTGATGTTGAACATGATATAATTGTGTAATTTGGTTTGGAATTTTTTAACTAAAGAATAATATGTGATTATTTCTTGCCATTCACAATCTTGCGCTTTTTTGCTGTTAATATGTATCATGATCGTACATGATGTCTACATCTGATCGTACATGATGTCTACATCTGGTCGTACATGATGTCTGCATATGATCGTACATGATGTCTACATCTGGTCGTACATGATGTCTACATCTGATCGTACATGACGTCTACATCTGGTCGTACATGATGTCTACATCTGATCGTACATGATTTCTATATTTGATCGTACATGACGTCTACATCTGGTCGTACATGATGTCTACATGACTGATCGTACATGATGTCTACATCTGGTCGTACATGATGTCTACATCTGATCGTACATGATGTCTACATCTGGTCGTACATGATGTCTACATCTGGTAGTACATGATGTCTACATCTGATCGTACATGATGTCCATATCTTGTCGTACATGATGTCTACATCTGATCGTACTTGATGTCTACATCTGATCGTATATGATGTGCGGATGATAAGGTGCAGGTGAAATACAGTGATACAAAAATATCGTTGATGACTTCAATTGAACCAACAAATTAAAGGACCGGATAAACATTTTATTTGCTGAAGCGCGATGTGTTACGTAAAATAAATGCTAGAGATCTTGTAAGTTGACTATTCTCCATTATGTATTTACAGAACAATACGAATTTGTATCATTTAATTTTTGTAGTTAGATGCCCGCTCATCAATAATTGAATATATGATGATTTTAAGAAGGCAATGTCGAAGCCTTTCTTTGTAGCCAGACGCTATACTCTGCTGCCTGAGCTGCTGTTTTTCCCCTACCTTCACTGTTTTGCCTACACTAACCTTATACTTTGAGCAACACAACAGCGGGAGTTATCGTTTTAGAATTCTACTTGCCCACCCGCCTCATCGAGCTGTGCACCTCCTGTGTCATTGAGATATCCCTCTGCCTAAGAGTGATTTGGAGACTTTAGGCGCCTTCTCTGGTGCGTAGGATTAAAGTATATTCAAATTGGTAATTTATTAATTTTTATATCACTATAATTTGAATCTAGGTTTAATTTCTCATTTGCCTTCTCTGTCGATCATACAAAATATTTTTGAAACTTAAACTGATAGCGGAGCTGGTTACCGAAACGTTCAAAAAATCATGTTCCAAAATTTTCGTCAATTTGCGATCTAATCAAGCTTATGATATCAATCTAAAAATTTGTGCAAATTCATGTTTGTTCGATTGTTTTTTTAGCGCATTTTCTCATTTATGGAAAAAATGCACTATTGTGCTCGCCATGTCCGTCCGTCTGTCCGTTCGTGACTTCATGTTTTCGTCGACGAGAAAATGCGCTCTCTGTCGCTCACTGCAGTGACTACCGAGTTATATATATTTTTTAAATTATGAAACTAATATTCCATCTGCAATTTTTCAGTAGGATTTACAAGGAAATATGCATTTTAATTTCTTTCTTTTAAATTCTAAATACTTATTAGTCCATTCAATTATTGTTTTCAAAAATCATCAATTCGCTAATGAATTTGGAAAGCAATATAAATTTAAGGTAGATATGTTATTTAATTTATAAATGAGAATGTTTGATTCTACAATTTTGATGCGAATGATGAATGATTGTTCAGAGCTGCAAAGAAAATTTATATAGTACAAGTAATTGTAGTAAGGTTCGTACGATTATCGGCTTAATAACACATCGGCTTAATAACACATTTTTTTGCTAAATCGTGAAATATAGTTCCAAAGTCGTTAAATCTATTTGACGGTGTCGTAATGTTTAAAAAGAAATTATACTGAACCAATCATCATTTAATATATTATGCCACTTGGCTACACGAAACACTTATTTTTTATCATATAATTGCTATATATAGATTTTTTACGGATAAATAAATAATTGAACTAAGCAGTCCATGATTTCATGACGCCTCATGGCTGGAAGTTAGAGGAGTCGTAAGTAGGGAAGGCAGAGTCTCAATGGGCCAGTGTCCGGCGAGCTCCCGGAGTGTGAGGTGTGTGTCGCTCCCCGGTCCCAGTGCTGTGTGTGCACGCAGTCTCGACAAATCGCAACCCACTAAACACGCCATATAAAAGCCCAAGTAAGAGTTTAACCTTCGTGTTATTAGGACCTAGAACGGTTTTCTTCAGAATGGTGTCATTGAAATAAGTAATCGTTTTTCCTACAATTAATGGATATTGCTTATTAAATAGTAATTGTTTTTCACCTGTTAAGACCTCTCATATTTTACTAAACATCTTCATATACAAAAGTTGGAAGTTGTATATAATTTAAACTGCTTTGATACATAATGAAATTCCAGAGCTAATTATTGAAATAAAGTATTTAGCAGCACTTTGTATCTTTGAGATCCGGACACACATTTAATTTGTTGTCGTAAACAACTTGCATGCGAAGTTCGTTCAAGATTTTAGACATTACTGGTACTTTGAGGGAATAAAAAATGTATGTGACTTTATGGAATAGAATTAGTTATGCGACTATAAAACAGCTCTCATTGAAGTCACCCTCAGTCAACTGGATTACGTAGCAGTTCTTCGATGCTAACTTCTTGCGAAGCTTAGCCCGATAATTGAGTGTACAAAGTCACCGCCAACTATCGAATATTCGGTGACGGAAAATTGTCGTACGAAGCAGGATATAAACCCGGAAAATAGATCTCCAGGAAAATATATAATTATGTATGATGCAGGTTCTGAACTTATACGGGAAACATGAAGCGAATTTTATCCCTTATTCTTAGTGCGGAAATTTCGAATGCTTGTCGACAATAAAATCAGTTAAAGTTTCAGTCTGCTCGGAGCTAACATAAGAATCGACATAAATACTATGAATATGAAAAAAGTTATACCTATGCTACTGGCATACAAATCACTTAATTGTGAATGCATGGATGCTGGAACTAATCCAAAATGCTTAAGAAGCTTAGATTAACAAAATATCTGGCGTTGGATTTGCTTTTATTAGGTACTGAATTTCAACGCTTCGAAACCTTGATGTTTTTTTATTCTTGACAATAACGACAGCTCCTGCCCGGAGGTGTTTCTAGGATCCGGGGCCTTGCTTTCAAAACTCGCTAAGTGAACGTAAGTACTTACGCTCTATTTTCTTGTCTATGATTAGTGGATTTTGCCTGAAAGACCGTTAATGATTGGCTGATGAACTTACGATCTCTTAACTCTTTTTGAGAGTATGGGCCCAGAGATGTAATCCTGAACGCCTCCGCGTTATTTTCTCAGGCTTTGTCATGGAGCGAGCAGCGTCCTCACTCGTATCGTGATTAACGCGCGTTCAGCGCTAACATTGCATGAAACGTTTTGATTCCATCTGTAGGATGGATTGAATAAATGATTCAACAGGAAAACTACAAATTATGAGAACGGTGTAGATAATGAATAAGTTTTTATCAACCATTGATTGAATTAGAGACAAGTCAAATCCGAAAGAAATTCAGTTGAGAAAAAGGACATGGAAAAGCCACTTTCCCGGGCTCAGTTGATCCAGCGGTTTCGTTGTGAGTTGCTCTTGTGAAGTAATCAAATTAACGGCATTAAATCAAAATCTTTTTTTCAAAATCGTGTTTTTGTGTAAACTGGTATTCTGAACTAGTTATGACGCATAAACACATTACTTATTACTTGTTATTAGCATCTCAACTCTGAGTGTCAGTTAATTTATATTCTGCAAGCTTGTTATAGTACTACACGATTCAGTACCTTTTAAATAATTTTCACTGTCTTGAAAAAAATTGAGCGAATGGAAAACAAAGTTTCATTTTATAGATAATTGCATGAATAAGTTAATAAGATATGAAACAAATTGTTGTAAAACACGAAGGAAGTTTAGAGAAACGGCTAGAATTTCGATTAATTTTGCGTGGAAACAAGAAGCGCGCGATTTTTCCCAAGTCTAAAGTTTATTTACTCAGAGCGACTTAAATAATTCATTGCACGCATTCGTTCCCGGATAAGTTTGAACTCAAGTTGCCAGAAACTCGACTCTCGCCAAACTCTCAGGCTCGAGGCTCAGAATGTTCTTGAAGAGATAATTGTTATGTTTAGAGAATATAAAGAAAATGGTCTCGAACCTCATGATAAGAAAACTAGGATCGGAACTAACGGTTTCACTGTACGTTATTGCAGCTGAGTTCATTACTCCACTAAATTATATTTATTTTCATTGTTATTGCATATGTTTGATTTAGGAACACTAGCATGATTTACAATTACTTAAATATTAAGAACAAAGTCCGTAGACTCATAGATTTTTTGGTTACCATGTTAAATAAGAAATAATGCTGATGTGCCTTCTGTGCAATGCCTAAAGTTGACACGGCTGTTCAATGACAGGTATTCTCGCGTTCGCTACTCTTAGTAAAATCGATCAGTGTTGACCTTCAAGTCAAGGCTTCATGTACACTGCCTTCAAAGGCATGTTAGGCAGGCGAGGCAATAATTAACTTTATTGATGTCAGTCCATCGGCAATCATGTAGTGATTGCGACTTCGCGTCAGTGTTGCAGCGCTCCCATATGTTCACCTCCCATCTTGTGTTTCTGAAGTAATTTAAATATAAGGCATATTACTGATGGGTTGCGCGAAATATATGAATTTATTACTCATGTTCTGCGATGTATACCTATATTTTAATGCGCCTTTTTTCCCTACGTTTGGGGTTTTGACGCTCAGTCTCACCTTCAGTTTTTATCTTTTCATCCTACCTCTCCGGGTGATAAGGGGAAATTGTTACATTGACTGAACATAATTCTATTAAATATAGTTATATTGGTGAACTATTAACTTGTGAAAATTACAGTCTGAATGCCGCATGTCCGAATAATAATGATATCAGTGAATCATATTGTAATGCAGTAGCCTAATTTTTACATCTTAAATGTTTTACAAACGTTTTGGAGAGAAATAACTACGTTGGATCTATGCTATGTACGTGTTTGTTATTGTTGCTATGATGCAGGAATCGATAAACATAGCAACGTATGTTGAAATTGTTCGATAAAAGTTTCCAAAAGTAGGTTTCTGAGATCTTAGCAAATTTTTTGAGATTAGAAAAGTAACATTGAACATTCAAATCCAGTTCATTAGCCACGAAAAGATTGCCGAATAAACATCACCATGATAACGGAATTCATTCATGGCTAGAGCACACAAGACTTTAGCTTAGGTGGAGGAGTTTGTGAGGCATCGACGGTCTGCATTATGCAATCGGGCATTGGATTTCGTTACTTTAAGTTACAAGTTTCTATTTAATCCCTTAGCACCTGTGCTCAAGTACAGACCATACTTGAATATTATCGTCTGCTCAACCTCGCCAGTATTTGGAGCCTTATAAGGCTGATCCCCAACCGTTATGTGAAACGTTGCGAAGTTGCTAGGTGGCACTGGGACAAGAGACACCTTTGCAGACGGCTGACCTGTAATAGTCAGACGTGACGACCACGAAAATAAAATGGAATAAAAAAACTTATTACCATTATTTCCGCATTGAATTATTTTTATATGTCCTCTGATGATGCTATTTTACAAACTAATGTGTATGCTGGAAAGACTCCAGACCAAGTATCCCACTCAATACATGAATAATTTTTCCGAATACATAAGGTAATTAAAGCAGAGTTCGTGTGCCGCAGATCCTTGAACTATGAACATTATCTTCTAAGGCCTTGATGTTACTGGAAAATTGAGAAATTTATTTGTACGCTGAAATTTCGAGTTGTGTTGTTTGCATTAGTTATGGTTATAAATTGCTGTCTATGGATGCGACCATAAATAATATTTACCGTCGATGTTATATCTCAAGTGTGTCGTCTCCAAGCAATTATTTATATTTATTATTTATTAACAGACGCATTTTGGCGTGACTCTCAACCAATGAATGTTTAAACAAATAATTAACAACAATAACACATTAATAAAATTTACAGAAGGTTTTAATTTTTCACTAATGCAATATCTTCCGGAATCGTCTTTGAGGAAAAAGAGATCGATAATTGAGAAATCTTACAGATATTGGCGTGAAAATATTGCTGTTAGACCGGTCACATTAATTATGTTGCTGCTACGAAAATGTGGAATTGTAGCTCAGCCGATTTAAGTTGTCCATTTAAGTTCCAAGCAATTACGTGCCGGTACCTTAATTAATGAGCAGAAAATCAATAATCCTTCGAAACGAAACCTTGTCTTAATACCCCTCGAGCTTCGAAACGAAACCCGCCTTGCAATCATAATACCCCTCGAGCTTGGAAGGGCTCGTTCATGAATAAAAACTTAAAAAATATAAATAAATAAGTTCAGAACTGTTAAACAATATTTATTAGACAGAAATGTACATGTTCACGCCCGAACCCATGATTATGTTGCAGCATAATCACATGCGCCTATGTTAAGAAAGTCCCAATGCACGTTTACTCCAAAAAACATTTTTGTCGAGAATTGAAATCTCCGAACACTTTACGCGCTGGTTTCCAAATTTTCACTTCAATTATATTTAAATCAGTAATGATGTTTAACTTGAACTTCTAAACGGTAGCCAAACTCGTCTCACACGAGAAAGCATATCTTCTGTTCCTGAGTGCACCGTAGCAGTGATACGGTTCTTCAGATCAACCAGAGTTGCTGCAGTTTCGTTGTCCGTGTTATTGATTGATGATTGTTTCGTTGTCCGCGTTCTTGCTTGATGATTGTTTCGTTGTCCGCGTTCTTGCTTGATGATTGTTTCATTTTCCGCGTTCCTGTTTCATGATGTTCTAAAGACGTTCTTGCTTGATGATTGTTTCGTTGTCCGCGTTCCTGTTTGATGATGTTCTAAGGACGTTCTTGCTTGATGATTGTTTCGCTGTCTGCGTTCTTGCTTGATGATTGTTTCATTGTCCGCGTTCCTGTTTGATGATGTTCTAAAGACGTTCTTGCTTGATGATTGTTTCGCCGTCCGGTGCTCCAATAGTGTGGTCTCGGTCGCACGTACTTTGATGAACAATGCATCTTAATGAATCGATATCAACCTTGTTTGTCCTCATTGCTTATGCATTCAATTGTCGCGATCATTGATTTGAGATGTTATCATC